ATGAGTATCCCCCACGCCCCGCGCCCCCCTCAGAGGACCTGGGTTAAAACCGCCACTATTATACTACTCTCTTCCAAATCCTCCATGACAATGTCAGAAATGATAAGAGAAAGGGAGGAACCTATAGGTATCAAAAATTTGTTTGTATAATAAATATTCCCATTTAAAAGTAAAATATGTTGATAATAAGAATTTAGCAATAATGAATTCATTCTTTGAAATGTTTGTGGCATCTTTAATGAGTCCCATTTTCCCATCAATCCATCCAGCGCAACATCCAATGGAACATTAATGAACAAAGAACTAACTTCGTCAAAACATCACTTTTTCTCGCCTATAAGTTCGGCCATTTATCGTGGTGCGGCGTTGTAACACATAAGCACGAGCTCATGCCTGTATGCTCGCCTGCTCCGAGAGTGAACGAGACAGCGAGCTCCTTCTGCTACTTGTAGCTTGTTTCAAGTGACCGAAAATACTTTCTTGGCAATCTTCTGGACCGCTCGGCGGCCCTAGGCATCAATAAGGGGTGGCAGAGGCATCCTAAATAACATATAAGTTTTAATAAATTGTAGTAATAGTGTATCCCTTCCCTAAATCTAGAATAGTATAAATCATGTTAAAACGCAACAGTTTACGAGATATTTAATTGTTTACGATTTTCCATGCGCGTTATACAGTATATCCTTCCTTCATAAACTTGAGTAAGTAACAAGAATAGTTCAGTAGAAGTAGAATTTTACCGGAAAAAAATTATAAATCGCAGATTTCTTTTTTAAAAAAGAAAGTCTCGAAAGACCATCAGAAAAGAAATGCGTATGTTCAAGACTCGAGATTTGTGAAGAACGTATGCGAAAAAAAATCGAAAAGTGCAAAAAGCATGTTTTTCGCTTATAAAACGAAAGATATTGATTGTATGGAAAAAAAATCAATATAAAAAATGTAGGTATTCGAAATACCTACAAAATAAGACATTGAATATTAAAATCGATCTATTAGTTCAGTAAAAAAAAAATAAAAAAACATCGAAAAAGGCCTTTTTTTCACTCGCTCTGTGTGTTCATTGAGATTTAAACGCAAAGCTTTGAAATTCTCGTAAAATGTAGTCCTCGTAATGAACAAATCTAGCCCTGAACAAGCCTCAAAATGTTTATTAATTTTTAAAAAGCTATTTGTTCACTAAAAATCTGTCTGCGGAAAACTTAATTTCTTCATCTTTGAACAGTCGCACAGCAATTTATAGGAATTTTGCTTCTTCAAGAGTTGCACTATCACGTACGCTTAATAAAACGATTTTTTTGCAATAAAATTATTTTTTAAATTATTATAAAACGATTTTAAAAAGTGAGTATCTATTTTCATATAAAAAAATAAAAATAATTTCGTTAATATGCATCATATCAAATGCCGTGTGAAGCATTCGAAATCTGACTTTTCCTACGAATTTAAAAAAAAAGATTATCTCGATTATTAGGAGCCGAGATAACAATTTTTTTTCAAAAAATCACTGTGACTCTAGTTTTTAAAATTAAGAGTTCTGTCTGGCACCAATTTGTCAAAGGAAGAATTGAATTTGTTGTTAAAAAAATTTCGAATTTTTTGCTGCCGAAAAAGTTTATTTAAAATCATTGGAAAATTGAAAAACGTGAGCAAGGCAGTGCGCCGGAGTGAGGAAAGCAAGGAAACGTGTTTGACAGAAAACGTGTTTTAAAAAAAAAAATAAAACATTCAGTTTTTTTTTGTTTAAAACATGTTTTTAATGTTTTATGTGTGTTTTAAACAGCTTTAGAAAGAAAAATTGCGTTTAAAACAAAAAAACATCTTTTAAACATATATTTATTATATTTTATTAAAACGCATTTTTACTTTTAAGTAAAATAATTTTGAAACGTTTCTGAGGTACATTTTAGCATTTAATTACATCTACTTCCTTATTTTTAAATTTGAGCGTATTATCACATAAATATATGTATATTTGAATGTGTTGTTTATTATTTAACATTTTATTTAACATTTTATATATATTTTAAGTTATGCAAATTTAAACAATAGCATGGTATTTTGCTAATGTGGTCTTTCATGCGTATTGATTACTCACGGCTACTTTTTTATTTCAAAAAAATTTTTATTTCAAAATAATTATTCCTTGAATTAATTGTAATTTTAATATTAATCTATAATTTATGTTACTATAGATTTTTATAAGCTGCCGACCTGCTTATATATAGAGTGTTTGAAAAATAATGATAAATCTTTTGCATAGGGGCAGAATGGACTAAATTGAAAAGAAAAGTATTCTATCATTTTGCAATTTTTGTAATAGTTAACAATATATTAATTGTTAAAAATTGACGAAAATTGGCCTTCAATAATTTTTATTCAAATACTATCAACTTTACAGAAAAACTGTAAAAGACAAAAATTGTTTATTTTCTTCTTATAGAACTCTACGAATTTTTCCAGAATTTTTTATCAACTTTTTAGTGCTACATTTTCTCATTTTTACCAATATAAGAAAATACAGTATTAAAAAATTCTTAAAAAAATTCTTAAAAAATTCTTAGAGCTCTATGAAAAGAAAATTTACAATTGCCTCTTGTAGTTTTTCTGTAAAGTTGATATTCGAGTAAAAAATTATTAAAGACCAATTTTCGGCAATTTTTATCAATTAATATCTTGTTAACTATTGCGAAAATTGTTAAATGATAGAGGACTTCTCTTCTCAGTTCAGTCCATTCTGCCCCTATGCGAAAAATTTATCATTATTTTTCAAATACCCTGTATACATAAACTTATATGTATATATGTGTATGTATATACATTCGTATATACATGCATATATTCTGCAATATACTCTACTTTTTTGTTAATTTTATAACCAAACTACTGTTTTCTAAACAAAAACTAATTTTTTAAGATTATTTTTATGACAGGCTACATTATCATCCATGTTTCTCTTCGATTCGCCATTATGCAATATTCTCACATTTTTAATAATAGTGTCCTAAGTAATAAATATTTCATGATTTTGAGTCCAGAATCGATTCAATAACATTTTAATGAATATAATTGTCAAGTTTTAAACTTAAATATTCAATTTTTAACCAAGTAAACCAAGTTATAGTATAAGTGTAAAATGTAACTGGAGTATCACTTTCTCCTGTACTAAATTATTAAAAACACATTTAAAAAAAACGTTTTAAACATTTGTTTAATTTAATCTGATATTTTAAACATTTGTTTAAAAAAAAATGTTAAACAAAACAATCTTGGAGGGAAGCCGACGCGCAGTTGAGTGGGGAAGATTGGTCCGCTCGGCGATTCGCGCATATTTGATTTCGTGTATTAAAATTTGCTAAATTTATATTTTTTCAGCAATAAATTGACGTGGAAACCTGATTTTTTTAAAATTTGAAGTAGCTTTAATGAGATATAAACAAATAACTTAATCAAATGTTTTGCAAAGTAATTGTAATCATGAAATTTTTAGTTTTTTGTTTCTTGAATTTTTATTTTTTTGATTTATTATTAAAAAATTAAATTTAAGTATGGAGTGCATGTCTGATTAACAAATTTAACAATTAAATTCACAATTTTGTACTGATAATTCCATCTATTTAATTGTCCAATTGGACAACTTTTTACAGCATATTAAATAAAGAAATATAGCTAATGTGACTTAAATTTGTCATGCACTAATCATGCATTCCATACTCAAACATGATTTTTTTAATAATAAACCGAAAAAATAAAAATTCAAGAAGGAAAAAATTTTCTAAACTAAAAATTTCATGGTTACAATTCGAAATTTTTTTAACAGCAAATTCAATTCTTCCTTGACAAATTGGTGCCAGACGGAACTCTTGATTTTAAAAACTAGAGTCGAACTAAGATCTCTTGCATTCCGTGCGAGAGTCCTGAACTTTTAGACTACAGAGACAGACTAAGAGATCCGGGCCGAGGCAATATTTTTCGCAATAAGTTCATTACAGTTTTTAAGATTAATTTGGGAAATTTGGGGGAATTATTATAATATTTCAGATTGATTGCGTTGAAAGTCCGACAACCATATTGGCACGTAATTATCATTTCTGAAATTAATTTATTTATATGAATATATATATATATATTAGTTCAACATCTCAACATTCAGATCGTGGCGCTTCGTATTTAAAGTAATGTTATTTAACATAAACGGTCTTGTTTCCAATCTTATTGTTTAACGAAATTATTTCCATTTTTTTATATGGAAATAGATATCCACTTTTTAAAATCGTTTTTTAATATTGTAGTTTAACTGCAAAAAATTTTATTAGGTGTACGTAATAGTGCAACTCTTGAAGAAACAAAATCCCTGTAAATTGCTGTGAGACTGTTCAAAGATGAAGAAATTAAGTTTTCCGCAAACAGATTTTTAGTGAACAAATAGCTTTTTGCAAAAGTTAATGAACATTTCAGGCTTGTTCAGGGCTAGATTTGTTCGTCATTACGAGGGCTACATTTTATTGAAAATTTCAAAGCTTTGCGTTTAAATCTCAATGAACACAGAGCGAATGAAAAAAAGCCTTTTTCGGTATTTTTTAATTTTTTTTCTACTGAACTAATAGATCGATTTTAATATTCCATGTCTAATTTTGTAGGTATTTCTACATTTTTTATATTGAATTTTTTTTCATACAATCAATATCCTTCGTTTTATAAGCGAAAAACAGCTTTTCGCAACTATTCAATTTTTTTTCGCATACTTTCTTCTCAAGTCTCGAGTCTCAAACATGCACATTTCTTTTCTGATGGTTTTTCGAGACTTTCGTGAAATGTTGGTTATAATTTTTTTCCTATGAAATTCTATTTCTACTGAACTATTTTTATTACTCGAGTTTATGAAGGAGAGGTATACTATATAATAAAAAATCGCAAACAATTAAATATCTCGTAAATTATTGTGTTTTAACATGATTTATACTATTCTGGATTAATGAGAGGAGTACACTATTCCTATTATACACTATTCCTATTCCAATTTATTAAAACTTATATGTTATTTAGAATGCCTCCCGTCCCTTATTAATGCCTAGGGCCGCCGAGCGGCCAAGATTGCTGAGAAAACATTTTCGCTTGAAACAAGCGATTAGTGTGAGGAGCTCGCTGTCTCGTTCACTCTCGGCGCGCCGCAGGCGAGCACACGGACATGCTTAAGTGTGTGACTACGTTTCGCCAGACCGCTGTCTGATTCTATGTCGCCACTGCCAACGTTGAGTTCTTGGCTGAGTAGTCAGGAGTCCTAATGGTAAGTATACATAGTAAGTATTGCGTGAGGATCGCGCCCGGAGGTGGGGGTCGGCGGTGGCGGCGGACCACGCCCGGCAGCCACTGACTTCGCGTGATGTTATCACCGGACGTAATTTTCCGCATATCCCGCGTTACGTAATTTCCCCGCACACCTCCATGACGTCATTCCCCTCGCCTAGTGACATCACCTACCGTGATGTCATTTTCCTCCCCGCCCCCGTGACGTCATTCCCTCGCCTAATGACGTCATCGTCTAGTGACATATTTTATTATTAATCTTGAGAATAACTTGCGAATATTTAGCTTTGACTCATAATCTTTATTTCTTTTTAATTATATATTTAAAAGAAGAGCCTTTCGATTCATGTATATGAAATTTTGTGCAGGCGATGCGCAAGTTGATAAACTGTTTTAAAAAATTGATTCTTTTCTAAAATTAATTTTACCGTTGTTCATTTTCCTTCAGATGATCAACCGTATATCTTTTGTCTGAAACATTTCATTAAATGGAATAGAAAATATTTAGGTTGGGATATTAAAACGGATAAGCAGTATATAAATATCAAAGATTTTCATTATTTATTATAATATGATAACAATATTATAATATGACAACGGTGTACAATTTTTTAAATATCTTCTTACAAAATCGTCTTTTTATATTTGACGAATAAAAAAATACTATTGTAAAATCAACAGCTGTATGTATAAAGGTTCCGAAAAAGTTTTTAGCGACAAATTGTTGCTGGAAAACATGCCGTTAGCATAAGAAACATGCTCTTGAATTTACATCTTTATTACATAAGCTTCTTAATTACATAAGCATTACAAATTATCAACTTATTTATGTTATAACACTTAACCATGTTATGGTTTTTTTAGATAATATTAAATGAGGTATATGTTAATTAATATATGATTTCTTAAGTAGTACATCATTTTTGTAACAAAAAAAAGTTATTTGTAACTCACAAGGAAAGGCTTTCAAGTATCTTTTCCCAATTTTAGTAAAACTTGATAGGAATAATAGATTTGCAGAAGGGATAAAGATAATCAATATATATTTTTATCAGTAGTCAAACATGTTTAAGAGATGAAATCAGTTCGATTAATATTTTGATGAATATTTTGATTTTCGTTTAACTTCTAAACAAAGTATGCATAATTTTTTCCAGATTTCAAGACGCGTTGTCCGTTAGCTTCTGCTGCTCGCATGCATTTTCGAGAGTATTACCTGGTAATATGAATATAGAAAGAGAATACAATATGTTTCTGTTTCTGTAGAAAGAGAAATATGAAGTGTGTTAAACAAGGAAAGATTCAATACCAATTTCACGACGCGAAGCAGGTCGGTATTCATAGTCGATTTTTACATTTAAGACTGCCTTAAGTAGTCTTAAGACAGTCATAAGTTAATCTGAGAACTGTATTAGCATATTAAAACATTATTTAAGACAGTTTTAAAATAAAAACGGACTATGAATATGTTTAGCGTTTCACAGTTGACAGTCTTAGTAAAGTCTCTTATCGACATTCACAGAGACGGCGGAGATTCAAAGAGAGATGCTTGCAAACACATTGCACACACTAGGCTATCCCTTTCACCATACTTCCACCATGAATAGATGGGATTGAAATGAACATAGAAGTCCCATACCGTTAGCGATATTTACAATAATCGAGATATTAATTTTTGTGTTTGTACTAATAAGAGCACGTCGAGAGAAACACTTGTTGAATGGTGGGAAAAATCTCGTGAGACACCTTGTAGAAAATCTCTAATATTTAATACGAAGAAAGAAACATTATTACCTCTTTCGATATGTTGCTATAATTCAATTATCTCTTCAAGCATTGACTTCATGACAACTGAATTGTATTCAGTCAAGATATAAAGAATCAGATAAGAATGGTATAAATGGAAAATCGCATTTATCACGAGACAACGTCAAATTTACTGCCGAACGGATATCTTCCTCAATTTGAGCCATTTCCAATTGTATCAAATTGTCTCCAATATTAATGTTCTGTGACAATAAAAAAAATTCATAAAATTTATAGACATAAGTATATATGGTGTCCCAAATTTAAATAGTCAAACTTCGAGAATGTGTAAGGATCTATAAACTAAGAAAAAAAAGTTCTTTAGAAATATGCTCGTTGCTTTGTGCTTTGTTTTGGAGAAAATCGCAAAAAAGATAAAACGTCCATTTTGTACTTTTTATTTATTATTTATTCATTCACACTTATTTATTCACTTATTTGTCACTTGCTTAATGCAGATCTTGTTTAAAATGTAAGTCTTTTACAGCAATGCATTGCACGAACAGTTCGTGTTACAGCCAAACACTGATCTGTTCAATGTAATGGCTCGCTGATACTTCTATCTGGAAATCGGCGCGCATACCTTCGCATTGTCTCTAAAGCATTGCCGAAGTCGTACACGAAAAACAATAATATTCCGCTTTGAAAACAATAATATTCCAAAAATTAATTTTTTTCTCTTTTGGCAAGCAATAACGAGCATATCTCTAAAAGACTTTTTGTTTTAGCGAATTTGGTTGGATGCACTAGTGCATGTTAATACTGTTGTACACTGATTTAACTTGCGTAAAAATAAAATGCAAATATTTTGAATTACAGATTTTATTTAACAGCACAATAAAATATATTGAGGATTTCATGGTTTAATTTGTTTTCATATTTATATTAAACCCACATTTTTACTTCGATTTGTGTCGGCTTTAATGTGCATCAGTACGCACTGAGTACATCCAGTGATCTTTAAAAAAACTTTTTTTCTTAGTTTATCGATTCCCTATACACGTTCCCCAAGTTTGGCCATTTAAATTCGGGACATCTTGTAGAGTACATATTCTAATGACAAGTTTTTCTCTTAGACTATTGAAGATTATCTCTATACAATTTTTAAATAAAATATTCTTTTATCATGTGACACTACAATTTTCTGAGATATACAATATATTTTTAAATTTATATACTTAATATAAAATAAAAGTTAATAGAATGGAAAGCTTAATAGTACGCGCGAAGTGCGCGCTTATTATGTTCTAGTATAATTAAAAATTAATTCCACACATAGGTATGTCCGTATTCATAGTCAGACCTTATTAAATTTATTTTCAGATGCTCTACGAATTATTTTATTAGCTATTAAGCATCTAAAGATAAATTTAAGGAAGCCTTAAATATAAGGCCTGACTATGAATACGGGCAATACATACAATATTTTTAAAACTCATCTATACTTCACATTTATTGACGGCTTGCAACTTGTAAGCCATATGATGCATATATTTTCTTGCTAGAGTACTTGTGTTCTAATAAATTACTAAAATTGTAAATATATAACTACATAGAACACATAACTTTCAATAATTTACTAAAATATAAGCAAGAAAATATGCATTGTATGCCGCTAGTTTTATTTGCGGTAATAAAATTCAGTAGGATTTTGGTACTTAAAGGAGTGTTACAAGATTCGTAGGACAAACTCACGCATACGCGTTAGCGTAATTAACTAATATAATAAACTAATATATATTAATAATAAACTAATATATGTTTAATAAATAGCATGTAATATATCAATATTTTCTACAGTATTAATATTAATATTAATTAAAGATATGAAAAATGCACTCAGGCGCCAAAGAATTACGCCTTATATTGAATCTTAATATGTACCGATCATGACATAGCATTCGCATGCACAGATAAGTCTCGCCGTGGAATAAGTCCCACGAATCATGCAATATTGACTTAGGGTATGGCGTACAGAACAATTATTCGCGATACAAAAAAATCGAAAAATTTTTCATAAACAGATAAAGATATTTAACAATAAGATTGGAAACGTTTAAAATGTTGAAATATTATATATATTCATATAAAATGAATTAATTTCAAAAATGAAATAACAGTTTTTTAAATTTAGGAAATTTGAGGAGATTATTAATATTTCAGATTGATTGCGTTGAAAGTCCGGCAACCACATCGGCATGCAATTATCATTTCTGAAATTAATTCATTTATATGAATATAATATTTCAACATCTTAACATTCAGACTGTAGTGGCACTTCGTATTTAAAGTAAAGATATTTAAATTGCATTAAAAAAAATAACGCATAAGATAAAACCATTGCTATAACCAACATCAACATGTAATAGATATAAATATATATTTATTTCACTCATTAAGTGCCTTTAAGGATTTAATAACTGTTTTTTTTTTAATTTAATTTATAGATATTTAATGCTAACTATTCAATCATTGTAATAATTATTTATTATTTCTACTGTACTTTCTTGAAAATATTCAAAAAATAATATATTTGTTATCTTAATTATAATTGTTATAATTAAGATAATAAATTAATCTCAGTCGTCATAATATAAGATTATTATATAGTCTGAATAAAATCGCATATTTGTGACGTGATATTTTGCAAAAATCTAAACACCTCATAAAACCAAAAAGTGTTTATATTATATACAGCAAAGACTTCGAGAACGTATAGAGTTCAAGATTTATAAATGTAAAAATCTCCCTTTCATCTCACCTTATCATTATCTTTGTCATATAGATTAATACAAGGAATTAATGAATTTTCACGGCGAGATCCTCCATAACCGATCGGACGTTCTTTGTAGCCTTTAACTTGAGCAATGAGCGGTTTCCATTTCGCTAAATGAGTAAGTTCAGCGAACTTGTCGTTAGCTTTGGAGTTCCATTCGCTTTCTCTGAAAATAATATGTTTTGTTGAAGAATAATTAACAACAGTAATATCTATTGATCAGTGAGATATTAATTTACCGTGGCTTTACGTTTGCCAACGAACACTCTACAGCCTGCAGGCGTAAGCTTAACATATCTGTACGAAGTTCTAATATATCATCTATGGGAACGATTTCCAAATCTCCATAATCTACAAAGAAAACTTTATATTCAGAAGATTCCATAACGGATATTACTTCTGCACGATACCACTTGTTGTCATATTTAAATCTTGCTGCTACCATTTGGCCTACTGTTATCTAGAATCAACATACAAACGGTTACAGATATAATTAACTAGTACTAACATTAAATTATAGATAATAAAATTAGTATTATTATGATCGATATATGAATAGTACAAATAAACGAGAGAAGAGTCAAAACTAAAGAATTAGATTAAAAATGTATAAACAATATTTATGGACTCTTTAGAATTAATATAATAATAATATAATATATACATTAAGCAGAGCTTTAAGAGTCGACGCCGAAAATATAATTTGCTCTTTGTGATTATATAATTATATAACTCTAAATGTTTCAGTTTAAACCATCCTCAGCAGAAATTTCTTAATATAAGTTCTTTGATAATTAATCAGTTAGGCTAACATAGATTTCCATCAATCCGCATGAATTTACCTCAGAATTATCTTATGATTTGTACCGTGAACGTTGTATTTCTTGCAATGGATGTCAAAGATGTTAGATATAAATCGCCAATCAAATGAGCGATTTAAAAATGAAAACGGATACTGAAAACTTAAACCATGCGTACAAAGAAGTACTCAACAAAATATAAATAACATGTAGATGTTTTTTAATTTGATCGAAATGATCTTTCTTCGTTACCAGTTCGCGATACCATTTTAATGTCTGATTGTTTATTAACATACGTTTAATGGACATGACACACATCGAATTTTAATTATGATTTTAATAATGTATTTATCGAACTAAATATCTTATCTACTTAAATTTATTATATAAATATTCACGATATCATTGCACTCTGATAGCAAAGCTTGCGGAGACAGATTTTGAATAGAGCCTGTTATCAATTTTTGATTGCAGAAAGGCATCAAATTGTATACAGAATTTGTATTATCTGACAATGGCCTAGTTTGTATCAAATAATTAATTGTCGTTCGACAGGAATGCTTGACTGTAGTTGGTTGGTTCTTACATTCTGATCCGATTTAAACTCTCGGTGAAAACTAGGCCATTGTCAGCGAATTGCTGCAGAAATATAACAAAGCTTGCTAGACATGCTACGCTAGCAGATTAGTAGCAAAAACCGAGCAGTCTTATATAACCTGACGGCAGATTGAGAACAGAATCTGATTCGAACAAACTCTGCTCGGTTTTTATCACCAATTTGCTGGCATAGTCTGTCAATAGATTTTGTCGACAAATCCATGCAGACACAGATAGCTATTTGTAGTCAAAATCTGGATGGAGTTTGCTGCCAATTTGGCCTCAAATTGCTAACATTTTGCTATCAGGATGCAATTGATACTGCTGTGAGGTGAATGGCGGACAATATATAATATTTAATCTTCTTCAATTATTATTCTGGTTGCTATATAATAAAAATGTTAGCTTAAGATTTTTCCAACACCACTAAGCCATGCAATTGAATTGGACATTTATATACTGAGAAGGACACATATCTCGCAGTGATATCTATTCCAACAAAATATCGCACATAATACAAATCATAAGATAATTTTGTTAAACGATACGCAGATTAATGAAAATCCACATTATCTTGATTATCAAAAAAATTGTATTAAGGAATTTCAGGACTCAAATGTGAACTGAAACGATCAGATTTATATAATTGTATTACGATACGCTAATCACAAAATGCAAATTATATTTCGTATTATTCAATAATTTTCGTATTATTATTGTTATTGTAGTTGTTAATGTTATTATATTATTATTATTATTGTTGTTATTATTGTTGTTATTATTGTTATTATTATAAAGAGTCAAATTTGAATCAAAGTAAATCTTATTGTTAATGCCTAATGTTTCTGCTTGATTTTTTTAATGCATTTTTCAGTTCATACAAATTGTGCGCCGATTAATTGATCATGAAATACAATCCTAAACTGAATTTCTTATGCAAAAATTTTTGAGTGTTTTTAATTTAAAACTTAAAGAGTTTACAAAAAAGTAGAAAAGTTTTTATTTCTATGTTCTCGATTCGCATAAATTTTTTCAAAATTTTTTTAAAGACTTTTTTAAACTTAATTTTTTGTAAGATATGAAAAAATCGTAAGTGTTACCAAATGGTATTGTATGCACGTGCATGCATACATGCACACAATTAAATTATTAATATATACATAGATATCATAAAAATATAGAAATATAGATATCATATAAAAATATAGATATCATATAGAAAATTAGTTACTAAAATCCACTTTGAATGAATTTAAATCTTTATATTATTCACATATCGGTTGATTCACTTATGATTATATATTATTTATAAAAACATAGTCTGTTTTTTTTATTCCTGCACTCTCTATATGTTTGTTTCAATTCAACTTATTGCACTGTGTGCACCAATTCAGAGATTACAGGAATAAAAAACAGTTCTACAATATTGTATGTATAATTATACAATTCTCTATTCTTGTTTATATTTATCTTATTTTAAATATCTCGTTATAGCAATAAAATTAAATGAGTTACGTTTTTATTTACTTTTTTCAAAGTATGGAGTTGGCAATTTTCCTTTTCATTGTAATACTTTGTCATATCATGTACTAAGTGTTGTAAACGAATATTTGCAGAACCAACCACTTGAATCCAAAACAGACTTGGCGTTTCCATTGCAGATACATATACTTCCATTAAACCATCTATTAAAATCAAAATTTAATTATAATACAATATATAAAAATCAAATATTAATAAATTTTAATGAAATATAAATTTATAAAATTTACAAAATCAAATGTTTCACAAATATAATTTGTTTTTCAAATATCTTGTTCCAATGCATTTTAAAACATTATTAAATGTTCTAATACCATTATTACATGGAGAATCAGATATGCTTTTTATGGTCATTGTAGATTCATAATTCCATTCATTACGAGATTCAATTGCCTCTTTAATTTTATTTTTTATCTGATCAGTAGCTAGTTCAATTTGTTTACCAGTCCCAATTATTGTTACATTTCTTTGATCTATAAAAAAACATCATAATCATTGCATTAATTGTTATTATAGACTCCAACAGAATACAGAGATTAATTAAAAAACAAATGTCCAATTTTCAAAGTGATCAAAGTGGATCTTGATATTTGATAATCAAGTTTATGCATCTAAATTTCATTTACAATATGAATTAATTGTACACCATATATAATACAGTTAATAATAAAATATAAATATATTATCAAATCAGATAAATCATGAAAAATATTAAAAAATATTTACTTTCAAATTTATTAGCAACATTTTCAAGTATGATTTTTGCACCAGAGAATCTTTCCATTTCTTGCACTGTGTATCCATTTTTTCCTATGATCCTTCCACAAACTTCATGTGGCACTAATAATTTATAAGTTTCAATATCAGAATGATCCTCTGTTGTATTTTTAATATCAGTGTTAATATGGGATAGTTCAGATACAGATGTTTTTGCAGTTGCAACTTGCATTCTTAGTTGAACTTCAGCTTTAATTTCATCTTGAACTTTATCTTCTATTTGAATAATGGCTGCCGCTATTTGATCAGTAGTTCCCTTTAATATTATCCTTCTTTTGAGTCCAGCTATAAAAAATTAGTAATTATAATAATAACATGATAATATTGCAAATTTTATATAAATTTTAGGAACATACTTTCAGTTTTATGAGGATCACTCTCAAGTATAATTTTTGTACCATAAGTTTTTTGGATCTCTTGTGCAAATCCAAAATTATTCCAATTTTTTTTAAAAATTCTTTTAGAAACTTCAAAAGGGACAAACAATTCAAAGGTTTCAATGATAGGTAGATTGTTTATTATAGATTGTATCATACTCTGTGCTGAATAAATGTTTTCTGCATTATCAGACCTAATGTAACAGATACGGTCTGAACAATATAAGTCTGCCTTTTCCATCTTAATGCATGTGTTAGTTAATTCTTCTATATTTCTTATTACAGCACCACCTTTACCAATAACAGCAGATACATACTTCTCAGGCATTTTAAATTCCATGCAAATTTCTTTGCATTTAGATATCCGACCATATTTCTTTCTATCATCCTACATTATAATAAGCTTATATTTAGGAAACAAATAAATTTTATTGAACTTCACAGACAGGTTAAGCCTATTTTACAATATGCTCTGTTTCCAATTTCTTGCTTTTCCCCCTTTGTGACCATTCTAACAATTGTATTTCTTGCTACTGTTTCCTGTTTCTTTCAAAGTAACTTTAACTTTTCATTAACTTTAAGCCCAATTCTACAATGTGCTCTTTGTTTCCTGTTTATCTCTTACCTTTTTTGGTCAATAAGACAAGAGACAAACAGCAAGAAACAGAAAACAAAAAGCACATTGTAGAATTAGCCTTAGCCTTAGCCTTATTGACCAAAAAGGCAAGAGACAAATAGCAAGAAACAGGAAACAAAGAGCACATTGTAGAATTAGCTTAAAGTTTATTCTACAATGTGCATTTTATTTTCTGTCTTCTTTTTGCATCTTGTCTTTTTGCTTCTTATCCAGTTTTTTATTTTATGTCGCCCGAAATAAAAGTTAGGCTAATTCTACAATGTGCTCTTTGTTTCTTGTTTCTTGCTGTTTGTCTCTTGTCTTATTGACCAAAAAGGCAAGAGACAGAGACAAACAGCAAGAAATAAAAAACAAAAGCACATTGTAGAATTAGCCTAAGACATGAGACAATCACCAAGAAACAGAAAACAAAAAACACATTGTAGAATTAGTCTTAACGAACGAAGAAAAGAAGAAATACAATTATCGATAAAACGATTGCAAAGGAGAAAATAGCAAGGGGTAAAGGCTAATTCTACAATGTGCTCTTTGTTTCCTATTTCTTGCTGTTTATCTCCGTTTGTCTCTCGCCTTTTTGGTCAATAAGACAAGAGACAAACAGCAAGAAACAGAAAACAAAAAGCACATTGTAGAATTAGCCAAAAAGAAATAGGAAACAAAAAGCACATTGTCAATTAGACTTAAAAAATAACAAAAAAATAACAAGAAACAGGAAACAAAAAATACATTATAAAATAAACTTTAGAAATAAAGACAACACAGAATAAAGAAATTTTATGTCAAGAAAGCAAGCTTTACTTTTTCAATCATACTATACAGCAAAATTGCCACTGATAATCCCAAAGTTGTTAAGGATATGCCGAGTAAAATCGGCAACACCGATTGCCTGTTCACAGTTGATAACAATTTCATTTCTCTGTAAATTTAAATTAAGACAATATATTGTATAATTTTGCAACAAAAAACAGTGAAAACATTTTTTAATTATCAACCCTCACTGTACAAGATCGGGACATTACTGTAACTAGTCTTCTTCTTCTTGTTCAATATTAATTGGCCCTTGCCGCGAAGTAGCAGCAATTTCAACCAGAGTGAATCTAGTAACTGAAACAGGTAACCAGGCGGGGGCGCCGCCTGGGAGGAGAGGAGAGAAACAAAGTTCTCCACCTCTCCCTTAAAACAAAGGCATGTTCATGGAAATCATATACTGAGGTTTAAAGATTTGAGATATGCAGTAATTAGACGACACAAGGTAGGGGGGGGATTATTAATCATACAATATAATGAATATTAAGGGGATGAAGCGAGAAGTGTTTTTTCAGGTAATCACGAAATTTAATCGATTTATGAATACAAAGTTTGCAATAAAAGAGAATATGATTAATGTCCTGATTTGGGTCACTAAAGGGACATGCAGGCGAATTGACAATATTTTTACGATGCAGGTTATATGCTAGATTATAATGGTTAGATCTAATTCTGGAGATGGTGACGATCACTGTAACTAGTGAACGATTCTAAACTATTGATTCTATAAGTAGAATCAGTAAAGATCGACTAAAGCCCAGCCACAATATAAGGCCCTGCGCACAATAGAAGGAATTAAAGCTACGTTGCAAAACTTCTTCGAGGAAGATTTTACTCTATATGCTATAGTATACGTCACGCGTCTTATATTGGGTCATCTAAAAAGTATCCGCGGTTTTTTGTCACTAGATGTGTGTTGATGATCATATATCTAGTGACAAAGTACCGCGGATACTTTTTAGATGACCCAATATACAATTTCGAGTAAAATTGTTCTCAGAGAGGAAGTTTTGAAACGTAACCTAAGAATAAAGAATAAATGATGCTAATCTATCAGAAATCAGATACATCGGAATACATGGTTTTTGATAGGTTAAAATCGTTTATTTTTTATTCCTTCTATTGTGCGCAGGGCCTAAGGATGCCTTTTCATATTGATGAACGCTCATTTTTGGCGTCAAAATAGTCAAGATGCCTTGATCACGTGATCTTGTGCTCGTATTCATAGGCCGGTATTCACAGTCGATTCTTATTTCAAGACCGTCTTAAGTAATGTCTTAAGACGCTAATGAGGCCCTCTGATTGATTCATGACTTCTTAAGACTGTACTTAAAATGGTCTTGAATACCGGCCATATCAGACCTTAAGGCTTCCTTACATTATTTTTAGATTTATTTATTTTATTTATTTTTAGATGCTCAGCAGCCAATGAAATAATTCGTAGAATATCTAAAGATAATTTAAGGAAGCTTAAATATAAGAGGACTATGAATACGAGTATAAGGCCTGTTATATCTATTGTTATGTCTATTTTCTGTTCCTACATTAGAAAGAGACACTGCACTCTCTTTCTCACTTTCAACAAATATCAAACATATATTTATCTCACTTCAAATTCCAAGACTCGTATTCAGAATTTTATCGATAAAAGCGCGCTTTTATTTCTGAAATTCTATAATATGTGTAACGTAAATTATAGCATATTAGCGCGTTAACATCGCTGAAAGGGCGTTCTGAATACGGGCCCTATACTAGTTCAGCCACAAAAAACAGATTTCTTTTTGACTGAACTTTTGTACTAGTTCATTTTTCTTCCTTTTCTCTCCAGGAAGAAAGAAGAGGAAGAAAGATGAACTGTTGCAAAAGTTCAATCAAAAAGAACAGGGCTTATATTCTGTAAGGCCGGAATCAGACTATGCATTGAAGATTGAGATTAAAGATTAAAAATTGAAATTTCACCAATGAGAACAAAGAAATTTTGGCTCTTTTTGTTCTGATTGGTCAAACTTCAATCTTTTAATCTTCAATCTTATTCTTCAATACGTAGTCTGATTCCGGCCTAACTGACATGCCTACCGACAGTTGTTACGCAGCTTTTTTATCATATATTGGGTCATCTAAAAAGTATCTGCGGTTTTTTGTCACTAGATGTGTGTTGATGGTCATATCTAGTGACAAAGTACCGCGGATACTTTTTAGATGATCCAATAAAATATCTACGCAACAACACTGACAATTGTCAATAGGCGTGTAAAGATAGTTACCCCGAATCTACAATAGATTTTTAAATCTTAAGCCATAAGAAATGGACAAATCACAATCAATTATTCTCTTTGCATTCGACTATAGTTGGTCAATTTTTTACGGCTTAAGGCATAAAATACTTATTGTAGATCCAGACTTAGGCCTTGTCTACAATAAAGTCGGCTGATGCTTGTCGGATGTCATTAGTCGTAAAAAATGACCTGACCAATCCAAACGACTATCCAGCAGCCAACATCGACAGCCGACACGAAAAATGAAAGTTATGCGGATGCATACAATGTTTCTCGACTGATTGTAGACCAAGCTTTACGGAATCGCGCCTATTCTCGAAAAGTATACAAAAAATTAGGGAAATACTATGGTATACTATAGCATTTCTCTAGTTTTTTGTATGCGATACTTTTCAAGAATAAGGGTGCGATTACATGAAGCGTGATACGCGGTACAGTAACTAACTAGGCAACTAAGATAATAGGCGGTATACGCGGTACGTGGTATCACGTGGTATAATCGGTATTGGACACTAGACATAACCACACCGTTGTGTTTGTTAATCAAATCAGCAAATGATCTCAATTTTTATATATTCTCTAGAGTGAACCACTTTATGTAATTACGATGAACTTTAATTTTGTAATTACTTAATTACAGTATTATAATAATTTCTTACTATATTATTGCTTATTATATTATTGTAGAATATACATATAATATGTTAATAATAAAAAATTTAAATATTAAAATAAAAATCATGTAGGAAAGAAAATATTGGGTCATCTAAAAAGTATCCGCGGTTTTTAGATGACCCAATATTTTAATGATAAATATTTGCCGGAAGATATGCTCCCAGCATACTTTTTGTATCGCGACACTCCTGGGGTACAGTGTCATGTGGGCTCGGCCGCCGAGTCTCGAATGGTAGTGGGGGTCGCCTCAGGAATCTGCCCGAAATGGGCAACTAATTCCGAGCACTGCTTTTCGAGAATAGGAACCCTGTTGTGGGATTTTCTAAACATTTTATCGATAATTGAAAGGACAGACGGAATAAAGGCCTAATTACAAAATCTTGATTTTGATAAAAATTAAAATAATTTGCTACTTTTTTATTATACAACAAATGGGAATAGTATTAATTGTACAAATTATATTTATGTAATGTCTTTGAGAAGTTGTACATGTATAATATTTTTCTATTATGATCAATATTAAAAAATTTTTAATATGCAATTTAAAAAATACATTTAGTCCTTTTTTCCAAATATTGATCATAGTATTGTAAGAATCGATAGAAAGAAAAGACTATAAATTACAAAAATGTTTTTTATCTTCACATTCTTGTAGAAGAAATACAAAATGAATATGGAATACACTTTACTTTTACACTTGTACCAAATAAATTGAAATAATATATTCAATCTGATGAACTTTCATAAGATTTTTTAACATATTGTACAGCAAACACATTATTGTCATATCATTTTTGATCAGTTTCTGGTAAAAATCTCATTAACGATTTTAAATTATTGATTTTTTTTTTCGTCATACCTAGAAAAGCAGACGCTTTTAATTTTTCAGGTACACAAGAAAGATCTTTACCAAAGACTTTAAATAGAGAATACGTTTCTTTATTTATTTTATCATATGAGTTGAAACACTCAATCGTCCCATCAGGCAGATATAAGAGACGAGCATATTTTTGTACAGCAAATTTCATTTTCTTTGCATATGGCATACGATGAATATAAGTTGGTAAAGTCGAACTTCAGTCTTTCACTGAACTTGAATCATCAACAACATGAAAAGGCGTTGGATATTTACGACGATAAGTACGTAGCAAGATTATCGAAAGATAATCATTATACAATTTCTTTGCGTTTCTTAAGCCTTTCATAAAGGCCGAAGTTGCGATCATATTGATAGAAAGAATAGCGTACAGGGAAAATATATTCAATGGAAATATTATAAGTTTCCGTCGCGAAATGTGTCAATGGTATTATCAAATCAATAGTAAAATCATTTGAACTAATGATAAAATTATATGGACTCAACGGTATTATCATTATCGAATAATTTTATCGAATGAAGCGTTCAATAAGAAAATCATTCGGTCAGTGATAAAATATTTTATCATTGGATGTAATCCAATAGGAATATCATTCGACTAATGGTATATTAGTTACTATTGAATACGCATCAATAGGAATATCATTCGATTAGTGATATAATATTTTGCCATTGGATTGTTGTCAATAGTAATATCATTCTCATCAAAAGCTATTCATTTATACAATCCAGTGATGCTTTCAATGGAATTTTACCAATATTTTACTACTGAAGATTTTATTATTGACCGGTGATAAAATTTTCAATGATAAAATATTACTCCAAATAATCAAACATGCAATATCTCACGATAACCGCACAAAATACCGCTACCGTACTGTAGCTATGTAGCTACCGTACCGCTATGGTACTGTACCACAAAGTGCCGGTGTATGGCGTAACTATGGTAGTATTAGAGTCCTATATATTAGAGTAGCAGTAAGTATCGATGAGTCTCTCCTGAACAGCGGTAAAGTGCGGACGTGCGTGTGTCACCCGCTCACGTGATTTCGGACGCATATCGTGTATCAGTCAGACTTGCGCGTAGCGTAGCGCCATTTGTACGTCTTTTTCGGGCGAATATTCTTATATTTTCTTTTTTATATATTAATTGTGAATCGTATAGCTCGCCTAGTCTTGCTTAAATTAAATCTGAAACACCATAGTCTCGCTTTCTAGAAGGAAAGACGGTGGCGGTTCATTTGATGCGTCTTTCGCGCTTATCCCCTCAATCATTAATGTAGAATCTCCCTTTTCCCGAAACGGCGGATGCTTCCTCTTTTGGTTTTCCTGTATCCACTCAATCTGAGCAAACGTCCAAGGATCTTCTAGAGGGTCTCTATAAAGAGGCGGGAATTATAATACCTTCCTTGCGTAACAAAATAATTTCCACTATTCCGGTTGTATCGGATGGTAAAGCAGGCGAACTTTCTTCTGTAAGCATAAATTGTCTATCTATAGTCCAAAGCAATTCGGACGAAACACCCACGAACATCAGTCCCAAATCAGAAAGCGTCTATGTATGTGCAATGTATTTACGTGACAATACATGTTACATCCTAAGTTAAAATGGTATTGAGAATAAAGGAAAAAGTGCTATTACATTATACGTATATACATGTATTTCAAATACATGGTTACATCCGAAGATATATCTAAGTCACAGTCAGAATGTATTTAGTAAAAATATATTATACTTATTATAACTTGCTGTTAGTCAACGTACACATTGACCTATAAGTGTATACATTTGCTAAAACATTTTGCTTTGAATATGATATACTTATATACATTTCATAAACGTACAGCATCGTACGAAAATTATGCATGTGACTATTGACTGTATAATGTATG